TTTTTGTGTCTATCGAGTGAGCTTGTCGGGAATGCTCTGCTCGGTGAAGCTTGGATCCACCGAAGAGACCGGAAGACTGTGTGTTGCTCTTGGGTCTGATATGGTCTGACTGCAGCGGTTTACGGAGTGAGCGCCAATAGAGATTCCTTTGGACCATGGATCCATTCCTCATTCCTTATTGAGCACCAGGGAGTCAACCAAAGCCATTATCAATCATCACCATGCTCACGTCGGGGATCTCGCAGCGGCATGCAGCGCCCACAGCCACTATATGAATTGAAACACAAGTTTCAACGTTCATGACATGTTGGGTCTATCCTATTACCTGTAACAGTGGAATACAGTGGATGATGAGTAAAGGCCTTGTTCAAACATGACCATTGTTTACTGACTGTTACAGGATGTTACAGGTATATAATAGGACAGACATGGACAGACCCAAACCCAGCCCGCCAAACGATGCCAATCGCGGGTGACGGTCTCCAGGAACGGTCGGTCGTCGTCTGGGGTCCCTTCGTTTGCGAAGTCCTGTGATCGCCATGGCCTGCCCAATCCAAGTCTTGCGTGAAGAGGCCGCCTGGTCTTTGTTGAGCAAGGTCCTGGTCGCAATTGGAAGGACTGCTCCACGCAAGAGTTGTGCCAAGGGCGAACTGCTCCACGCAGTTAGAAAGGGTTTTCTCAAAAGAAAACCGAGACAAAGACGCATGCAAACTTGTTGCGTTCATCCTCTAAGACCAAATTGATCCTCAATGTACACCTCAAACCGATTCTCACAATGTGACTTGATTCGTATGGTTTGCGTCCACCCTGAAACGCTGCATGGTGGACAGCTCGAGTCTCTGTCCATGGAGTCTCAGCATCGACATGAGTCGACTGTCGGGCTGTGGACGTTCAATGAGTGCTGGACATGACGCTAACTGAAACACAACAAACAAACTCACACCTATGCACAGAAAGAGGTCGCAGAAAATAACACCAACAACTACGAACAAAGGACAGCTCAGTATTCCCACTCTCTTCAACTGTCCGCATTCATGACACTTCTTCGCACTGGACGTGGGGCGTTGTGTAAACAATCCAAACATGAAGAGGTTGGTGTATGAGTCTGTATGAGTGTAGTGGTCTTGATTTGGAAATGTTTGGATTTTTTCAAAGAATTCTGCTCGGCCATCTTATATAGGTTCTTCCAATCCCGCTCCGGCACATGCAGCGCCCGGTTGAAGTATGGGCGAACCTGGTGACATTGTTGACGCTGACACCGGCCAATGCAGGCTTCAGTTTCAACATGACAATGAGAACCTTCAACCAATCAACAAACAGATCATTCAACCAATAAATGTCTTCATGAGTTATAGACATACCCTGGAGAGTGTGGAAGAATTGAAAACACAGCTTGAGTTTGATTTGGGTCGAGGCTAGCCTAGCTGAACTGCCCGGTCTGGACCTCTTGAAACTGCAGCTGCACTTGTTCACGAGAAAGTGCAGCTTCTTGAAACCTCATAGACATGGGGGAGAGGGAGTGGGAGAGGGAGGGAGAAGGGGAGAGGGGAACAGCGGAAAGGGAGGGAGGACGAGAAGGCAAAGGAGAAGGAGCAACGAGGAGAAAGGAACTTAGTTTCTTTGGGCTTGGCTGAGTTGTCTTATCTTTAGGATCTCTTTGGGCTTGGATGGGAGTTTCACTTCTTGAGGGTCTTCTTTGTGGTGGGCTTCTGTGGGCTTCGGGTTTGATGGCATCTTACCCTCAGGTGACTCACAGAAGGTATGCTACGTTGGAATGGCCCCTTCCTCATCGAAGTTTTACCTGCGGATGGACCACAAATAGTATGGTACATCCTGCTCCAAATCTACGGTTGGGTGGCTCACGGCTCGGCTATGTTGGAATGGTTCCTTCCTCCTCCAAATTTTTACCCATGCAGGTATGCTACGAGTACATCGGAATGGCCCCTGGCTCACAAACAGTCGGCTGCGTTGGAACAGCTCCTGCCTCCTCTAGAGTTCACCCTCGGATGTCTCACAAAAGGTATGCTACATTGGAACGGCCCCTT